AACATTTATAATTAAACAATAATTAAAAATAGTTATCTATATTTACTAATATAATAATATAATTAGCAAATAGATCCCAATGATGATAGTGATAATTTATCAAGAAAATTACATAAAAATAACAATCGTATTCCTAAAGCAGATAAACTTTTGACAATAGATACTATAATGGCAGAAAATGTATTAGAAACTCAAAATCATCATCACTGTAAAAAATCATAATCGATCTTATTTGAATCAAGATGCTCCTCTTAATGCACATATTGAAATTACTTTTATGATGCTTTTAATTTGGAGTTCTGAAATGGTAAATAATTAAATAATTATTTATTTATTAATATTAAAGAATAAAATTAATTAATTTTTTTTAGGCAAAAGGATTAGTAAGTGTAACTGATCCACCAACACATCCATTGTTTGTTATTAAAAATTCTTCTAAAAAAAATGCTGAATAAAATTCTGAGTTATTTTCTTCAAATTCTTTACAAACATTAACTAATATGAATAATCTCTTTTCAAATAATTCTTTTATTAATCCTTTTCAAATGTTTGCTTCATTTTTTCAATTGCCTCAATTTTTACAACCATCACAATCTACAAATTCACAAATTGCTTTTTCTTTATCTCAAGTTCTAACAATATTAAATTTTTTAAAAAATTTGGATATTCAAGAAGGTCGGGTTGATACTGAAGAAGCATTTATACATTATTTACCAGGATTTCAAAGTCAGCGTGTATCAGTTAAACATCTTAGTAATATGACTGATGAAGAATTTATTATATATGAAGTTACTATAATGGGAAATCGAAAATTTTTCGTTTTGCTGGAGAATTATATAAATAATAATAATTCAATATTTTATATAACTTTCTTTATATTTTGCATTTATAATATTTAATAAATATTTGATATTGCTTTTTTTTTGCTTTTAATTTATTTTTAAATTTTTAACTAAAAATTGTATTATTTATGTAATTATAAATAATGTAAATATAATTTTTACATAATTACAAATATCCCAACCCTCGAAAAAATCCTTTTGCTAATTCAGAAGTAATCTATCCATAAGCAATTAATAAAGGATATTTTGGATTTGAACAAGTTTCAACAGAGTATCGATTCCTTTTAAGGTATTCTTTTATTATACTAAATGCAGATTCAATAGGATTTAAATCAAGTGAGTATGGAGGTAAAAATTCAACATGTATACCAAAAGCATCTAAATATTCTAATAATCCTTGATCATGATAAATTCTAGCATTATCTAACACAAGAACACTTTTAGGATGAGGAAAAGATTGCATTTGTGGTAACTTAAATTATAAATAATATTAATATTATTTATTATCTATTAAATATGTTTAAATAAATTTATACATACTACTTGAGATATTACAAATTCTTTAAATGTTTGTTGATTATAACTACCATTTATAACTTTAGTAGCAATTATTCTATCTAAAAAAAGTGCTAAAAGAATTGTATATTGAATTTCTCTTATAAATACATTTTTTTTCGTATGCGTGTATTAATTTCTGAATATTCATATCCACGTGAAAGACTTTTTTCATCTTTTGAAGACTCATCCATTAAAATTAATTGATCAGATTTATAATTATTTCCAATATGTATCATAAAAGCACTTTACAATAATTCATTTCGTTCATGTGCTTCTTTATTAACTAAAATATTATAATTTTTTTTTTAGAGAAAAAATTACAATAAAATTTTTTAAGAAAAAATATAAAAATAAATTTATATTTTATTCGAGTAATTTCACAATATGTTAAAGCATGTCAAAGTGTTGGAACTGATACATGTTTTCCAGTTCTTAGTTTCATTTTCTCTAATAATTCATCTAAAAACCAATCTACTTTATCAGCTACAATTGAACGCAAAATCTATAAATAAAATAAATTTATATAAGATTAAATAATTTCAAACATTTTAAATTTATTATTCTATTAACTCAACATACATTTATTTCTTGCCTATTGAATATTTTTCTTCTAGCTTGTAATTTTTTCCAAGGATGAGTTACACTTCCCCACTTAGTATGTATATTCAAAACCTATTTGACAGTTTCTTTACTAATATAAAGTAACTGTGCAATTCTTTTTCATGAATATCTATCATTTCGCAAAAATATTATGCGCCATTTGAGGTCTTCACTTAAAGGAAACAGTATCTAAAAGATTGTTTTTGAAAATAAAACTAGACTGTAATTATATTCTTCTTTTAAGCATAAAAATAAAATATGTTTGAACCATAATTGTACCTTATTATTCATTAATATATAGAACAAATCATATACTTTATTTTGGAATTAAGGAATCGTAAACAATTGTAAAAAAATAATGTTTTATTATGAACTCTTTAAAAAAACCATTAAAATCGTCAAAATCACAAGATTTTAAATTTTGTAACGATCATTACATGATCACAGATTTTTGAAAAATGCGATAATAAAATGCCGCCCGAAAGTCAGACACAGCATTTATTATAAAAAATTAATTTTTATTAATTTTTAGTAACAAAATGCCGTTCCAAAAGATGGAGGTGGCATTTATTATTAAATAAATTAATGTTTAATAATAAAATTCCGCTGAAAGTCAGATGCGGTA